AGTGAGGTTCTGTACTGTAACCCTGATGTTTATTTGCAGAATCCTGAAGCCATTTCTTGCCTATATATAGATTGGTTTATGATAATAATGTCCTGATCTGTCTTCTCTTCTGTTAATCTAATTCACAAGAAGTATTGAAGTATTTGCTTTGAAGGATTTATCAAGAACTTCCAGCCTGCTTTAAATGTAATAATCCTGAATAATATACTTATCAAAGGCAAATATATAAATCCACAAGGTTTCTTGTTTATCATCTGAGCTTAGCTGTTATTTAATGTGCAACAGATACTGAGCTTCTGCTGTCTTATCTAAAAACAAATATGTACTCTTCATCTTAAATCAGATAAAAAGGTATTTTTGTCCCAAAACACAGTTTGATTGATAAAAGCAATCCAGATTCTCTTGGATATTTGCATCTTATAAAGATCAGCAGAATTACCAGCAATAAAATCAGCTTAAATTTTAATTCAGCCAGTTAAACAATGCATGAGCGTTTCTTTTGATTGGCATAATGGCATTTGGAGACCTGTCATCACAAGTAGTTTCAGCTCTTGAATCAATTCCCCATCCAAGTATCTTCTAGACCAACCACTTGAACATTGGTGTCTTCTCAGTACGTTTCTTAATAGGCACAAGCAATAGCAGAAGCTGAATCTGTGCTTTGCTATATTTTATTTTTATTTATTTATTGCCCAAATTGCAATTAGCGCAGCATTCTTCTAGAACATCTTCCCAGTTCAGTAACCTTACAAGAAATCTAGAACCAATATGGCCAGCAAGTTTTGTATGAACAGATGTTCAGTTGTCCAAGTGTATCAGGTGCTGATAGAGTGTTAAATCCAACACTTAGCAGCAGTTCAGTGTGTTCCTTGCTTTTATCTTATGTTTCAGTTTTTTGTGCTGGGCTTTTGGATTGATATAGAAGCACTTTGTATAAGAGAATGACTAATTGTTTCAATTTAATTACTATAAAAATATACTAAGGATATTTTTTTAAATTTTACTCTTTAGCTCACTGGGTATCTCTTAAGGAGAACAACTAGGTTGATAGAAGATATAATCCATGTTGATGTTTCTGTGTTAAATAAAGGCAATGTCTATCTGATGTGAGGGCCATGTATATGAATTGTATAAAAGCCATATTGGTCTAGGATAATAATAGGCCTGCTTCATAAGAAAATTGTGTCCGCATTATTATTTTTAGGTAAAAAATAAACTAACAAAAGTGGATGAGAGGGTGTATTTTTGATGACAATAAGATGTAATAGATTGTTTTTTCCCTTGCCCTTTTGTGAAAAAACCAAAAACACCTAATTGAAATAAGAAAGAGTAGATATCAGTAGTCCATTGCTGCAATAGGTATAGATTTATATTTTCACTTTGGATAGATTTAATTTGGCTACTCACCTAATACAGGTGTGTAGTTTAATATAAGAACTATACATAACAGAGAGAAGAAGAAAAAAAAAATTCAGGGTATTTGAAGTTACATTCAGCATATAATCAGGTAGTGACTTTTTGTTTTGTTTTCTTTTGGGAGGGAATTGTTTGTTTGCATAGATCAGAATACTTTGGTTTTATTTATTTTTTTAGTGCATCTTCCTTCAATTTATGCTCAAACTCAGTACTATGAAAATACCACAAGAATCTTATTCCTTGTATAAGATGAGATGACAGGAGAAATGAAGCAAATTTTCCCTGTCTTTCTTTAGCATAGTATACATCATTTATCTTGTTATATGCATATATATCCATTTTAATATATACAATATTGCTGTTTTTAGCATTTGTTTGCTTACTTGTTCATATTATCTATTTGTTGTCTCGCTTCTTTGTTGCCCGTTGTCTTGTTTTGTCTCTTTAATAAGAATCAGTAAAATCAGGAGTTTTAGCTACCCTTAAAAGGCTATATTTCTCTTAATAGTGGCTGGTGTTCCTTACAGACCTGACCCTACAGTCTCATAATCCTCTATTTCACAACAGGGTCACTTGCTTAGGGTTCAGAAGCTATGGACCAACCTGCAGAGTCAAAAAAATGCTGTGGGAACTGATTCTGCTTCAACCCACATTGCTTCACTGGAACTCTCAGTCAGAAGCTATCTTGGCTCCTCATTCCTTGACATCTTCTCTTCTTTTCCTTGGAGGAGAAGGAGAAAAAAGCAGAAGGAGATGAGGAACCCTTGGCAAACATGACAAAATCTGTACGATACATCCACAGACTACTTAAAGAGTTAGGTAGTCCATGGGTCTATTCTCCCATCCCTCTGATTCAAGAGCTAAACAAATTTGTAGCTGCCAATTATACTTTTTTTCCAGCAAAAGCAGTGGTGGGATTCAAATATGTGAACAACCGGTTCTCTGTGTGGATGCCACTTCCGGAAGTCCATCCTGGGCCTGGGCAACAAAAAATTAGCTACCGGTTCTGCTGAAGTGGTGCGAACTGGCTGAATCCCACCGCTGAGGAAAAGCCTTAGGCAACTCTACAACAATGCCTAGTAAACTGACTTGACTTTCCCAGTAGTTCAACTTTAGGAGATGGTGGCAAGGGGAGGAGGAAGTCAGTAATAATCTATCATTTCTGCAATCATATCAACTGCTGGATCACAGTTCTATCTATAAATTTAAATAGCTCTCCATTCATGAAAAAAGCACCTCAAGATCCACCTCAAGATTACTATAGATTAATTTAAGAGATGGAAGATGTCTAATTTCACTTTTGTATAACTAGTTAATATTACTCTCATGGCAATATATTCTCATCTGGATGAAGGCCAGTTGTAGGAAAGAAAATGTCTTTAGGTCAACATGGATTTATGACAGTATGTACAAACATTGACTGAGAAGGAAGAATTGTTTGAATTGTGTTCAGTTTATTTGGAATGTTGCTTCTGGTATTTCTGTTGAAGTAGCTCTCTCGCTCTCAGTGATTGGTAGGTGGGGTCGATGTCAATGTGTCTGTTCACTGATTGGTTGGTGGAGAACCAGGCCTTGAGGAATTCTCTTCCTCTCCTCGACTTTGCTTGGGTTATAATTCTGGTCCCGGTTAGATCGAACTTGTGTCCTTCCGAGTCCTTGTGGATGGACATGAGGGACAATGGATTGTGTCTTTTGATAGCCAGAGAATGCTCATGCAGTCTGGTAGATAGCTTTTTTCCTGTTTGGCCCACAGAGTTCTTTTCACAGTTGTTGCATTGGACTTGGTATATTATGCCTGATCTTTGATTTGTTTCTGGCTCTTTAGGTTTTGATAGGATCCATCTGAGAATTGAGGCTGGTTTGTGGGCTACTGTGAGGTCGTGTTGGTGTAGTAGTTTTGCTGTTATCTCTGAAATGTTCAGTGTGTAAGGAATTGTGATCCGTTTGGTCGTTGCTGTTCCTGAATGGAGACGAAACATTTGCAGAGTACACGTGGTGGAGTATGGGGAGGAGATGGGAAAGAACCACACGCTGACGAAAGAGATGCACTCGGAGTGCAAAAGCACAGCCAGCTGGGACCGGTTACGCCATCTCGAAGCCAGATGCAGGCAATTAGAGGCCGTATGTAAGCTTCTCCCAAGGACTGCCTTTTTTAAACCCTGACGATGTCGGGAGCACCCAACGAAAGCTAGGTTTGATTTATTAAATATTTTCTATTTATTCTCTTGGTGATCATTATTTATTGGCTTTTATAGTATGGATATACCCAAGAGTCGGATTTTTACTCTTATAACTAGTCATATATATATATAATCTCTAATTACTTTAAAAATGTGAATCTCAGGTGTATTCATATCAAAAGTGTAAAAATCATCGAACTCCGGGATAGGTATAAAAACAACTGTTTATTGCTAAGCTTTCGTCGGTCCTCTGCTGACATCATCAGAGTGAAACCCAGAGGTTGGAGAGTCTGCTTATAAAGCCGGCTGTTTCAGTGCCCCCATCAATCATATTTTCTCTAATTGCGCTGCATCCGCTTGTGTGCATTTGGATCTTGACGTCTTTTCTCCCCTCATTTCTACTTTCCCCGCCTGCTCCACTCGTGTCTGGTTGTATGAAGTTGCTGCCGGATCATCCTCCAATTTGTCTCATCCTACGGCCCCCATGAGTCGTTGTGTAATCCTATCTGGTAGCATTTCTCCTATCCTGTGCGCTGCACTGCCCCCGCTGGTCTTGCCCAAGAACTATATATATAAAATGCCTCCTTCTTACTCTGTTTCATCTATAATACATTTTCTGGATTATTATTAAGAATTCTTTTAAGTGGGTGAGCACTAAAGAATCTGATGACCACACACTAACCACAACTTTAATCTGCACATCCACAAGAATCCACACATTGTGCTGACTGAGACTAGGCTAACAGTGTTGGCGATGGGGTGTCTATGAACACAACTGGAGTTATTCAGTGCCTGTCTGCTTTCTTAAGATTTCTATATGGAGTAGCTTTTCTGAACACTTTTAAAGGTGTTTCAATTACCCAACACATAGAGATACCACTTCATTAATTTCTGCTAATGAGTGCTATTCATTCACTATCCAATGGGAAATAGTTGTTAATTGCTAAGCCATGTTTTCATTTTTTGCTTACATTCTAGACATAGTAACTTGGGGAAAAGATGAAAATGCTTATGTATCTTTTTGGTCATTTTTTCACTGTTTTCTTACAGCGCTTTTATGTATTTTTTTTCTTCTTTTTGAAAATGTATCAGCATCACTATAATTTTTGTGTTTTGCTGTTTTTTCTTTTTTGTTATTAATGAAAAAGTAATAAAATATAAATAAAAAATATTACCCTAGAAGCCATTAATACAAAATGAAAAGCAAAATAATTTATTGTAGCAAAATGTAAATTTAGTGCATTGTGCTTCAATATATTTTAAAGTTCCACTTTATACTTTGTGTACTACACTGCAGTCAGGAAAACCTGTATGATATCAGATAGAGTAATTCCTTTGATATTTGTGCTGGTGTCTCAGAAACCTTTGTAACATTGGTCTGACATATTATTTCACTTTTTGTAGAGTACCATGCTGTGATTTTGCAGTTAAAAAGGGAATATAAGGATGAAATTGAGAAACTAAAAGTAAGTATCCTTGGGTATTTATTTCTATAAAAATATTTCCTCTTCCACTGTCGAATTATTATATAAATTTGTTGAATGTTCTTATTAGGCATCTTCTGTATTGCAAATATTTTTCATCTTCAAATAATGTCAGATTTTTAAACATTCTCAAACAACACTTCCTTAGAGAAATAATAGACCTCTGTGAATGCCAAGCTTTGTTAACTGTTAGAGAGACCACAGGATAATATAAATCAATCTTGTCCCACCATTCATGCTGAACTGCTGACTTCATTTATCTTAATGGAACCATCCCTGTATTTAACGATTAGGAAAAACATTTTAGGTTAATATATTTGGATTTCTTTGGTTAGCTATTCACTGCAATTGAGTTTTCAGGAACAAAGATTTAAAGTTTGTTATGTAAGAGTCTTCATTTTCTGTGTTATTCGATATGGATATATCTAGTTAAACTGATCCATGTGTTGCTTCAGAAATCCACACATCTGTCTGATCTGAAAAGAAAAAGATACAGAATAAACAATTACATTTACAAAAAGAAATATTTCTATTATTCTATTTTCCTTCGTTAGTAAAGATTCCCAATACAAGAGTAAGTTAAATGAAAAACAGAAGCATATGCCATTGTGTAATACACTTATTTCCAAGGTACCTGATGTGTACATAAGCTTTTTCACAATCTTTGTTGATAATATTCTTTTTCTAATTGTAGTTAAATATTTCCACTGAACTGTACTTGAAAAAGTAGCATCCAATATACCTATTTGACACCTGGTTGTAAGTCCAAACTCAGCAGTATCAATTTTGCTATGAGTCCAAAACCACCTGAGTCTATATTGTTTCATCCCATTGATTGGGGGGGGGGGGGAGGACAATGCATTTCTCATTTTTTGGATAATGCAAATTTGGGAAGGTCAACTCTTTCATCCTCTGAGACATTTAAAGCAAAATGGTTGGGACCTTATGGGTCACCAGATGGTGTTGGATCGGTCCTTGTCATTCCTAACCATTGACTATGTTTGGCTGCATCTGATGGAAGATCATTCCAACAACATCTGGAGGAGGACGGGGTTCCTTGCCTGTTATGTACAACCAAATTTTATAAAAATCTATTTTTTAATTTAAAAAAATCTCCACTAGAGGTCAGTTAAACATCTCTTTCTCTTCCTGAGAGAGAAAAAAATGTTACAAGGTTAGTTGCTTCCTGTTCTCTCCTATCTTAGAGATATTAACATTTTGTAGAATATTTTTCACATGGTACTTTGCAGTAATTAACCTATCCTGTGTCCAGGCCTCTGGTTATATATTGTGCATCAAATGAATGTACAGATGCAACCTACTGAAGCAAATGTGGGAGATGATATCAGAGTGGAAAATTCAGAACTTAAATACAAATATTCAAATGATTTTCTTTATTGAATATGAGTAACAAATTGTAAAGCAAAGTTCCAGTATTCAAAAGAAAGTGAAAGGGAATTAAGTTTCTATGGAGTGAGCAATTGGATTAAGAATTAGGGGGCACTTTCCATTAAATTCTTTAAATAAAAGAATTACAAATTTAACTCTTTGTTAATTAAACAGATGAAAAATTAGCAATTTCTGAACATCACAGAGAGTGGGATCATCATAGGCTTACCTGTAGGCTGTTTTTATAGTAGATTTGATTATAATGTTAATGGTTAATATTAATTAATCTTTACTTAAATTAATATAATAGATTAATACATACTAATTTATTATTATAAGCAGTTACATCTCAAGAAGCTTCTTCAGCTCTGAATGGATGGTGGATAAATCCTTCCATTCCCCACCATCCAGTCAGAGCTGAAGAAGCTTCTTGTATGAGAGAAAAACAAGAAAGTCCAGTTGCCTCGTGAAAAAGCACCTTTGGGATATTATAAGCAGTCTTCAGATTGAACAGTAAGGTAAGCCAGGATCCTAAAATTCAAACCTTGCTGTATAAAGTAAGTATTGAATTTGTAGTAGAGATAGTCTGACTCTCAACCACAGTTGGGACCAGAATGTCTGTTTCTGAATAAGGTGATGGTTAAGTGAGACATGCCCAATTTTACTGTTAAGCAAATATCTGCAGTTGTTAAGTGAACTGTGTGGTCATTAAATGAATAACTCCCCCCATTCACTTTGCTTGTTGGAAGTCAGTTGGGAAGGTAGCAAATGGTGATCACATGACCTGGAGATACTTCAACCATTGTAAATACATGTGGTTGCCTAGCACCCAAATTTTAATTCTGTGACCATGGAGATGCAGCAATGGTCATAAGTATGAGGTCCTATCATTAGTCATTTGTTTCAATGTCATTGTAACTTCGAACGATCACTAAACAAATGTTTGTGCGTTGAGGACTTCCTGTATTTGACCAGGAAATTGTACTTGGGCAAGTAACAAGAGCCAAAGTGAGGTGGCAAACTATAATAGAATGCAAAAAAATACTATGCCACCTTATATTTCTACCAGATTCATTACAAAATAAACTTTAACAAATGTCCTTCTGTAAAACTTATTTGAAATTAAATACTATAAAACCTACGTGTATACAGTACTTTTGCTTTCAAGTATAGATGTGTAGGATTTGGCTATAAAAATATGCATTTTGTCACTGTATCATTGTTTGCAGCTCAGAACTGGTTTCTCAAGCACACCCATTTGTTTATTTACTTTGCAAAACACAGTTTTGTTAGGCAATAATAGGAGGGAGTCAAGATGAGACATGAGTCACTTCCACCTGCTAAAGCAATATATTGCTGGTGGCAGAACAAGCTGTTAGTAGGAGCAAGAGATCTACCACTGTTAAGATTAAAAATAGAAGAAAAGCTTTGTCCAAGAAAGGGATGTGTTACTCCACATCAAAAATTCCAGACAAACTAGGGCAGTGGTGGCGAACCTATGGCACACGTGCCAGAGGCGGCACTCAGAGCCCTCTCTGTGGGCACGCGCGCCGTTGCCCCAGCAGAGTTCGCCAGAGTAGCGAGCATGTGGCGTTTAGAAGTGACAGGGCAGGAAGTGAGCGAGCAACCAGTGTTGGCCCCCCCGGGATGCCCCGGAGATGGCGAGGGACTGGCCCCCTGCCACGCTCACCCAGTCTGCCGTGACCACTGCAGCCACACCCACCCAGTGGGCCACGCCCTCCTCCCCCCCCGAGGGCACCACAGTGCTGATGCAGCCCTGGCACTTTGCGATAAATAAGTGGGTTTTGGGTTGCAGTTTGGGCACTCGGTCTCTAAAAGGTTCGCCATCACTGAACTAGGGGCCTCTTAAGATGATAACACAAAGTTAGTTCAGGCTAAGAGTCCCTAACTAATCCCTAACATTGTGAATTCATTGGGGGCTCTAAAAACACCAGCTTCCTCTATCTGTGTTGGCAGAATTTAGATTTAGCAAAGATAGAGCCAACATTAACTTAGTGAGATGGGTCATTTTTGCATGTAGATGTCCCATATATGTTTCCTGGTCAACTCACAAAACTGTTACATACCAAATTTAAAAAACAGTATCCTGAACAATCTACACTATAAAACATACATGTCACTGAAATATCAAAAAATAATATTATGCAAATTTCATCATCATGGGTGCCATTATCTGCTTCACTGAATTTGACTTGAGGACAGTGAAGATGAGCTTCGGTTTTTCTCATTGATGAATTTAGTGCACATGTCCAAAACTATGTTCTCATGAAAATAAAAAGTTAATACTATGCTTATTTTCTAAACTAGTTCTACACAACCACATATCCTTTTTATTAGGCCAAGCAAAATGTTACAAAATTACATGCAAGTTTACAAATTCTTAGGTATTTTTTTTTCAATCCAGGTGATAAACAAAGCAAGTATAGAGGAAAAAACAAACTAATATTGGAGCCTCATTTCATTATTTACGTTAAGTTTAACTTGGAATTTTTATCTGAGATAGTAACAATTCATTCTTTATTAAATAGAGTTTCTATTCTTAATTGTGTTGAATTATATTAATGTTATTAAAGATACCCTAACCCTAACCCTAATAATTGTTCATTTTCTTTGTATATTATATGATATATTCAGGATTATAAAATATGTATTCAGTATATTATAATATATTTCAAAAATATTTATTCAAGATTAGATACTATTGGTGTTTGAAGAGGTAAATTTCTAGGAAAAATATGATTGAAAATAGATCCCTAGATATTTAAATGACTTTATAGGGTAGTGGTCAATTTTCCAAATGGAGGGTGATCGGCATGCTAGCTAGTAAATTTAACAACTTTGGTTGATTTTCAGCACTTTGGATCAACAACCAGATGCTAGTATCTGGAAGCTGTGTGCACAATCCCATTTGGGATACAGGCAGAACAACATTGACAGAATTAGCATATAAAACAGTGGTTCTCAACCTATGGGTCACGATCCCATTGGGGGTCAATCGACCATTTCATGGGGGTCGCCAAGCAAGGCTGTCCGCCATTTTTTTCCCTTTTCCGGTGGGTGCCTTGCCTCCCTTGAGCTGGGCCAGCTGGTGGTCGGCCTGCTCCGTCTCTGCCGCTTGCCAGCTACGCCTCGGCCGGCGCAGGGGGTGGAACCACGCATGCACGGCAGGGAAAGTCCTCGACTTACGACCGGTTGGGTAGTCTTTGACTTACGACCGGTTTAGTCCTCGACTTACGACCAGTTTAGTCCTCGACTTACGACTGGTTTAGTCCTCGACTTACGACCGGTTGGGGGTCGCGGCATTAAAAAGGTTGAGAACCACTGATATAAAAGAATGAAACTGATTTGCAAGACAGAGAAGAGGCTGAAATTCCCATAATCTGGGTTTTATTTTGGAAACAGCCACTATCAATTCTCATTCACTCCACATTTATTTGGGATCAATATTTGCTGTTTAGAATAGCAGCTATAGAAAATGCTTACTTCATTGGCTTGTGTGAAAGACAGGAACACTGTCAGAAGTTTCCCGGGCTGTTACTTGGACAAACTGGCAGAGCATGAGAAAGTGTTGAAATGCCAAGCCAGAATCATATTAGATTTGTGTGTCCTGGGCTTTGCTTGGCTAAACTAGCTTCTTGCTTGTACAGCTGCTATATAGGCAGAGCAAGAACAATTTTTTCCCAGCAGTTCAGCTGTGCGTGCACAAGCCATGAGCCTTGCACATGCAAAGCTGGACTCAGAATTCTGGACTAAGTGGGAACTTGTTCTGACAGCAATCACACAAAAAAATTCAATCATGCTTCCTTTTTCTTCTTTCTATTGTTATTCCCTTGCTATGGCAGGATCTGCATTCAGTCATGCTTCTATTTCCCCAAAGTTCCCTGGCAATTCACAATCCACAATTTGAAAACACCGAGTAAATCTCTAAGTTTTACATGGAAGGATATTGAATCCCATCTTGGCTATTATTAATTATTTATCAGGAGGCAACATGCCTCCTGATGCCACAAAATTACTAGAAGCCAAAGTATTTTTAATAGCTGAACTTTATTGATTGTTGGAAGCTGCCCAGAGTTGAGAGTTGAGAGTTGAACAGCATGCAAGATTAATACATTATTATAACATCAATGTGAAATAACAACTGCGAGTTCTTTAGTTGATGTCGGCCTTAATACACATAGAGTTCTTCCCAAAAATCTAGTACAGTGGTGGCGAACCTATGGCACGCGTGCCAGAGGTGGCACTCGGAGCCCTTTCTGTGGGCAGACGTGCCATTGCCCCAGCCTCGCCTCCCCCCATGACCCCCTCCTCACCAGCAGCCCCCCTAGAGGAGTCACCCCTGAGCGTAGCCCATGCGGAGCAGCGGAGCCAAGGACATGGCAGCCAGGCAGTGTAGACAAGACTCTGCCCTCACGCCCCATCGCACACAGTTGATGCTGCGGGGTGCGGGCAGAGGGTGTGGCTGCCATGGCGCTGCTGGGCTGCCTGGGCGATCTGTGGCGGGCCCTGGAGGTGGTGAGTGGCCCTGTGGGCAGGCGGGGTGGGGGACGGTGTGGGGGCAGAGCGGGGGCACGGCAGGGGGTGGAGCAGGGGCGGGGCCAGTTTTTGGGCACTCGGTCTCTAAAAGGTTTGCCATCACTGAGCTAGTATGTCATAAGGTATCAGCTCAGTATATGGGCAGAGCTAAGGAGTGGCCCTTTGTAAGAAAGAAGAAAATTGTTATTTTGAGAAATTCAATCATTTTTACTGATTTACCGAATGACTGGAGGAGAGAAAGCATCACTTCTGCTTAATTGCTGTCCCAGACCAGAAGACAATTTAAAGGTTTTCCCAACCATGGCTTGATAATCCTTTCTGGATCAGAACCTTTATTCTTGCATCCCATTAATGTTTGACAAATCTATATGAATAACAATAACATTGTACTTAATATTTTGCTTATTTGTCTTTTGATTTAATAAGGAAAAAATGCACATGTATGTTAAGGTGACTTATCCTGAATCAGCCTTCCCACGCGCAATAATTTTCAGGTGTGTGAAAAGCTGTGTTTGTAGAAGCACAGAATAAATGATTATTGTTATTTATACTGTGCATCTCTAAAATCCATAGGGAATAAGGGCGAAATCTTTTAGAAAATATGTCATTATCCACTGCAATTGTCCTGTAATGCCTATAGTGTTTTAATAATATTCTTGACTGGTTGTAAACTGCTGCATTATGCATAATGTATTCTTAGTATATTTGATATGCTTGAAATAAATTTCAGTAGAATTTCATTATTACTGAAGAGGAAGCTCAGCTATTTGTATGACTGCAGATTCATACTATATTTACTTGTCATGGATGGCATATATTAATACTATTAAGAGGCCTATCTGTTTTCATACAGACTATTGGCTATTTTTCCAGTTCATGTGTAACTAAGTGGAAACAATGGATATGCTGCAAGATGTAATAGATGATCTTCAGAAGGTTTACATGATTTTCTAATGTCTTTGATGTTCAGAGGAAATTATTTCTGATAACTTTTGAAACAGTCTCAGGATACCCTCTCACTGCAAAGAAGAATGTCTGATGTAGGAGATACTGAGTTTATTTCAATGCCTCTTTTTTTCTTATGAAGTAGTATGCAACCTATTTCTTTTTGGCTTCAAGTAAAGTAGAAATGATGCAAACTAAAAAGTCAATTATTTTTTCCCTACAGTCAGAAGGCAGCACATGGAACTGTTCGTACCAAGATTATAATAAACAGATATTTCATCCCAGAATAATCAATATATGAATAAACTCTCACATTTTTAGGGGGGAAAAAGAAACAAAGCTCAATAAATCATATGCATCCAAAATGCTCATTAAGGAAATCTGTAAAACTAATAAGAAGACTTTTAAATTTTCTCTGTGTAAATGTGTTGCTGTAAATACAACCTGTATTTGTAGACAGGGCACAATAATCTAACACACCATGGCATTTTACTTATCATAAGCTCATAAGACAGAGAGCGATTATTAGTGCAGATTAGCTTCCTGAAGTCTGGTATCTTTCAGATACATTGGACAATCTCTCTTGTCAAGAATGTTCTTTGGCTTTAGGGCAGCGGTTCTCAACCTATGGGTCACGACCCCATTTGGGGTCGATCGACCATTTCACGGGGGTCACCAAGCAAGGCTGTCCACCATTTTTTTTCCCCTTTTCCGGCGGGTGCCTTACCTCCCTTGGGCTGGGCCAGCTGGTGGTCGGCCTGCTCCATCTCTGCCACTTGCCAGCTATGCCTCGGCTGGCGCAGGGGGCGGAACCACGCATGTGCGGCGCTCCCGGGCAGGGAAAGTCCTCAACTTACGACCGGTTGGGTAGTCCTCGACTTACGACCGGTTTAGTCCTCGACTTACGACCGGTTGGGAGTCGCAGCATTAAAAAGGTTGAGAACCACTGCTTTAGGGGCTTTAGAAATTTAATTCAGACATACCTGGGGAACAGTAGCTTGGGGGAGACCACTGTAAACCATCATAAATTGTATGCAGAATAAATAAGGCAAAGGTTCACAACGGTTATACATTGACTTTTCAATATTCTTTCACAGTCTGAGTTTGAACTCGAAGTCTTTCATATTCGAGGAGAACACGCTTTATCAATAGCAAAGCTTGAGGAGCACATTCTATATTTAAAAAATGAACTGGAAAATAGGATATGCAAGCAAAGTGAAGAAGCAAAGGATGCCTGTGTATCCACCGAAGATGACTACCCACCAAAGACATACAGAAATGTCTGCATCCAGACAGACAGAGAAACTTTTATAAAGCCAAATGAAGATGAAACACGGACACCAAAAAATAATCAGAAAATCCCTAAGAAACTTTCTAAACCCTATTTGAATAACAGTGTTTTAGCTTCAACTGATCGTAAGGAAACAGGCAGTTCTGGCCAAACCTCAGGGATTGTTTTTTCAAAGTTGGACCAAACAACGCCACCACCTCCTCCACCACCTCCTCTTCCTCTCTCACTGTCTGATTCAATTCCACCACAACCACCACCATTGCCTACAAGCTTGAGATCTGCCCATCCATTGGCGCCAGCGCCACCACCACCACCACCACCACTTCCTTCAGCTTTTGGCGTTCATCAGCCCTCTCTACCTCTCCCACCAGGGCCACCTCCAACAGGAACAGGGCCTCCTCCTCCACCACCACCTCTGCCACCACCACTGCCACTTGGCTCTAATTTTTCTTCAAGAAGTCAAGATCTTCGAAAACCTGCCGTTGAACCCTCTTGTCCCATGAGGCCTCTCTACTGGAACAGAATCCAAATATCAGATAGCAGGTATACAGTTATGTCTTCTTGCTTATATGTAGAAGGTATGAGTATATTGTGTACCCACATACATACATACATACATATATACGTGTACGCGGGTGTGCAATTCACTAAAGAGAAAAAGAACAAGAGGCAAAATTATGAGAAATACTCAAATAGATTAAGAAAATTTTTAATAATTTGTTTAGACTGCTTCGTGTTATCAAATATTTTCTTCCATAACTCCTATGAAGTTTCATAGTGTTCTTGTTCAGACTAATAATAATAATAATAATAATAATAATAATAATAATAATAATAATAATAATAATAATAATAATAAAGTTGGAAGGGACCTTGGAAGTCATCTAGTCCAACCCCTTGCTCAGGAAGGAAACCCTATATCATTTCAGACAAATGGCTGTCCAGTCTCTTCTTAAAAACTTCCAGTGTTGGAACATTCACCACTTCTGGAGGCAGGTTCTTCCACTGGTTAATTATTCTAACTGTCAGGAAGTTTCTCCTTAATTCTAGGTTGCTTCTCTCCTTGATTAGTTTCCATCCATTGCTTCTTGTCCTGCCTTCAGGCGCCTTGGAAAATAGCTTGACTCCCTCTACTTTGTGGCAGCCCCTGAGATATTGGAATACTGCTATCATGTCCCCCCTCGTCCTTCTCTTCATTAAACTAGACATACCCAATTCCAGCAGCCTTTCCTTATATGCTTTAGAATCCAGTCCCCTAATCATCTTTGTTGCTCTTCTCTGTACTCTTTCTAGAGTCTCAACATCTTTTTTACATCGTGGTGACCAAAACTGGATGCAGTATTCCAAGTGTGGCCTTACCAAGGCATTGTAGAGTGGTATTAATACTTCACGTGATCTTAATTCTATCCCTCTGTTAATGCAGCCCAGCACTGTGTTGGCCTTTTTGGCAGCTGCAGCACACTGCTGGCTCATATTTAAGTGATTGTCCACTAGGACTCCGACGTCCCTCTCACAGTTACTACTATTGAGCAAGGTAGCCCTACTTGTGGCTTACACAGCAGTGTCATTTGACATAAAGTATTCCCGGGATGACCTAGGACAGGGGTCTTCAAACTTGGCCCTTTTATGTTTTGTGGAGTTCAACTCCCAGAATTCCTCAGCCAGGCATGCCCCAGGCGTGCTTGGCTGAGGAATTCTGGGAGTTGAAGTCCACAAGTCATAAAAGGGCCAAGTTTGAAAATCCCTGACCTAGGATATAGTTGCTTGTAAGGGCCCCAGAGAAAAGAGCGAAGGTGTTCTTTGCAGCAACATTTTGATTTTTTTTTTTACTTTTTTGCTGCTATATTAATTGCATGTTAACTATTGAAAAATAGTGAAGCATTCACAGCAAAGGAAAATAATACTATAACCAATGTCAATAATATCTCAGCAGTCCATTTGCCACATTGGCTTCCCCTTTGCCTTTTCTTCTTTTTCTCTCCATGGCTATATCACGGAAAACAAGAATAGAAACTGTATTACATGACAGGGATAAGGAGAATGCTGTTTGAGTGACACCTGCTGGAGGAAAAATGTCAATTGCGACTACTAAAGAAAACACTTTTTTTTCTTCAGAGAAAAGCAATCTGTGAGGAATAATTTCCTTTGCTAAAAGGCAATGGAAAATAGATGAAAAAATAAATACTGTTTTGAATTGCAGCAGTCAACAATAGGTTTTGTGAATTAAACATTACAAAAGGAATGTGGACAATGCTAGAGAATTCTGCGAGGTAGTTCTTGCCTTCTGCTGATAAGTTTTTCTTCATCTTGTATGAAGCAATAGTGATTGGTTTCGAATATTGTGATAAATTACTAAATCATACTTTTCTTTAATCGCAATTTGTTGAAGAAGACATAGTGGTCTCTTACAAATTATTCACTAAACTGAGCATGATATACATACCTTATCTATAGTAATAAAAGATTTTGAAGAGTTACTTTTCTACTCCAAGCTTTCCTAAAAAGAAAAGTAGCACATAGAGGAGACAGAAGAGATAAGAAAATCTTGTTGTTCAGAAAATAATTTTAAAAATATTTGTTATCTGTGCAATACAAAAACAGTTGAGATAACTGTTGGGCATTATACAGTTCTTCATATGAAACATTTTTTTCAAAAGTGATCTAACCCATCTGCAAAACAGCTGTGCCCTTAAGAGACAATTTATAACTGTTTCTCTCTTTTTTCTTATTTTAGTCAACAGTCAATGCCAACTCTTTGGGAGTCATTAGAAGAACCCGACCTTTGTGATACAAATGAATTTGAATACTTATTCTCAAAAGAAACAGCTCAGGAAAAGAAAAAAGCACTAGCTGAGTCTTATGAAAAGAAAACAAAAACCAAAAAGGTATTTTTATTTTCCAACTACTGTTTTTTTAAAAAATAATTTTATTGAACATTTTTAATAATTTTGATTTTAGCATAGAATAAAAATTACAATAACATTTAAATTTTAAAAAAATCTATGGGCAAGGGATATAAAAATTGGACCAAAGTTATCTGTTTCTCATTTGCCAAGAATTTTTATGAAAGTCAGCATCTGGGATTAATTTTTTTCAGACTTGTTTCAAGCTGTTAATTAGTCCTTTAAAATAGTACTTCCATCAAATAAAGAACATGACTGTTAGTACCCACATAATTATAACCTAAAATTAAGTCTTCCTTGGTGCATATGCCATGCTATTTTGGCATTGCTCCCAGCTGAATGTATGACCCTGCTTTTACTTTCAATACCAATCAGACAATAGAAATTTAAAGTTATTTTAAAAAACACTGTTTCATATTTTACAATCTTCTCTAGATACTAAATGTTAATTATGTTGTTTTGAAAGAAAAGTGGATAGAATGAATCTGCATTTTGCACAGAAATCTTATTTATTGCAATAGATTGGCATCATTCTACCTTTCCTAAAACAAAAACTGTATTCACGCATATGGGTTATTTGATTGTAAAATGAGATGTATTTAGACAATTCACTAAGCCATAATTTACAATGAGACCAAACTACATGTATAGTTTTGATACTAATCTCTAAGATTCTAAACAACACATGGCCTTTTGGTTTGAAGCCATTCTGTGAACTACTTGCCCCCTGGAAACAAATTATGCACTTGTCTTATTTCAACTAAATCATTTTATTTGCCTGATCATTTGACATCTTAGAATGATTCTGTTTTCCTACCCATGACCATTTGTTTATACAGTTTTGATTTGTACTAAATTGTTTGATAGGAAAAAGAGAAGGAGAAGGAGATGTAACTGAAAAGCAGACAGCAATAAGTACATCATGAATTGGGGAACTACAGATAATCAAGATGTGTTAGTTTTCTTTTGGAGGATTTTCAGAAGTGGTTTACCAATGCCTCTTTCCTAGGGTTGAGTCCAAGTAACTGATTCAAGGTCATCCATCTGGCTTCATGTCTAAGGTGGAACTTGAACTCACAATCTCCCATTTCTAGCCTTAACCACTAGGCAAAACCTGCCTTCTAGATGTATTGTAATTAGGCCTTAAGGAAGCATATCTGCTATTCACCTTCTGTTGTGAAAAAGTATACATATTTTCAGTATGATTATTACCTGAAGGGTGGAGTGAAAATTCTCAAATACATAGCACAGATAATATTTTTTGAAATTTAAATAACTCAGTATTGCTGAGGTTTATTATTTGCCATATGTCAGTTTCTCTTATGGAAGCTAACATTACCAAACTAAGGCTATTATACTTTCCTTGTACAAAGAAAGGGGATAAATGTCAAGCAATTTGTGTCACCTGCATGATATAAATAAGGCTCCATCCATCATTTTTAGCTTTTTAGTGCAACAATTACTATATCAGTGACAGAGGATAATGGGTTTTCTGCCTCTAACTGGCTTCATATAATTAGTAACACATGTTCTCATTTACAATGAGTGTCAATATTTTGAATAAGGAACATTTTTAATATTTTAAAAGAATGTCATCAGGTTTGTTGCTTATTTCATAATTATGAAAGATTATAAGTTACTATTTCATGGTGTTTGTAAAAATGATTTGAGAATTCTGCATCAGCATTTTATAACACCCTCTAAGCCATTAGTACCAGAATTTGACCCTGCTGTGAGTTTCAGCAACTTTTACAATTTAGGATCATTGCCAGATGTCATACAATTTTTAAAATGGTATTTATTTAGTCAACCATTTTCTAAACTCCCTGTTCATTAATACATTACTTAAAAGGTATTCTTTGGGCAGTTTATTATAGATCAGCTCTTGCATTCTGTACACTTGTAACAAGTTGGTTTTCAGATGAGAAGTTATTTATATACTATGTGACTTCAATAATGTTATATTCCTGCAAATTGTTCTTTGCAGCTGTAATACAGGGAAATTATTCTTCTGCCTGCTAACAACCTCTGTTATGAAGTTGTTCTTGGTTGTTGATTTATTATTAATTTTTTTGCACATCAATACCCAACCATATTAGTGTTGCAAGAGTTCTGTATCTTGGTTCTAACAAGCTACTCCTTCTGAGTTTTAGCTATTCTGAAATCAACATCTGTGATTTTAAAATTATGTTAAAAATAAACCTCTATAGTTATTTGCAATTTAAAATAGGACATATGGGGAGATGCTATGTGAGCTAATTCTGATCGTATCTCTGGGGCATACTTACAATTTGGAGAGGAATCACAATAAAAGTACATTCAGGAAAGATTTTATTTCAAATATTAGGCATGCCTAATGAAGTTTATGATAGCCTAAGAAGTTTCCTTTAAAAAGGTCAGACTAAAAGTCAGTCAGTGCTATACAAATTGTACCCTACTTTAGACAATAATTACCTCTATTAGACATTAACCTGTTGTCAAGTTCATTACGTAACATGTATAACTTCAGAAAGATATATAACTTTCCATGTGAAAATATTTACCACGGTAGCTTTTTTTAATAAGAAAAAAGACAACTAACCAATAATTTATTCTCAGTTATTCATTTATTCCCATTTATTCCCTCAGTTATTCATTTACTGCATTTTTACTGTAAATTTTAATAATAAAACTAAGTTTATTTCAGGCAAACAGATCTAAATTCTACTAATTTCAATGAAAGAATTGAGTATATGGTTTAATGGTCTATCCGTGGCAATCAAAAGTCCTTTGATTTCTCTAGCTAATAAGTATAAACAGGTGGAATTATTAAAATATCTTGAAAATCATTCATGATAGATTAGGATTGTATATCTTTTAAATTGTGCAGAGTTAATTTTGTATTATGTCAAAACAAATTAAAAATTATGGGCTATATCCATTAAATAAATAAGTCTTGATGAATATAAAAATAAGTTGTAATAATTGACATTTAGTTACTAAATTAATATAGAAAGCTATAAATGTGATGTTCATCTTTTCTGACATGATCAGATATTTTTATTTCCAGATTATCAAATTGTTGGATGGGAAGAGATCTCAAACTGTAGGAATTCTGATATCCAGTTTACATCTGGAGATGAAGGACATAGAACAAGGTAAGTGTTGCTTTTATCTCAATGGGAATGATATGCATAAACATTTTTTTTATATTCCTTTAACAACTTGACTCAATTTATCCATGTATAAATGTTATATCACACATTACATCTCTGTTGAACATTTATTACATTTTTCAGTTATTAATAGTTGCTCAATATGTACTTTCTCCCTTCCCTCAAAAGATTCCTGCTGGTGTACACTAAGAGCACATCTTACTAGCATCCTTTCATTTGGAGATTAGCCAAAATGTCTTTAAAAAACTCAACTCATAACAATTCTCTTCTGCTACTGTTTTCACATATAACTGAAATTCAGAAATTCTGAATTCTACTTGAAGTTGTCTTCAGACTTTTCCATATAGTTTATGTTTTAATAAGTATTCTGCTCTCAAAACACAGTTGGCTTAGTGATAAGAAAAATAAATATCTAGTACCTGAAGGTTCTATATTATGTGAAATTAATCTTTAGGGAAACTAAAGTTTGCTGTGAAAACCTAACACATCTAAAATAAATCTTTAAAGGGTGAATTCTTAAGGGTGGTTTTCTTTTCTATTCTGACACTTTTCTACTTCCAGCCATCTGTAAGCCAGTAACTGATATATTTCACAATTTCTATATAGTTGAGTAATATGTTGCTCCATACATCTGGGAGACAGATGTTTAAGTTTGCATTTGATTACCAGCCAACAAATTGAAGACTGCCACATTTGTGAAAAAAATCAGCCATAGATGTTTCTTAGGAGACAGTGGCATTTGTTGTTAATAGAAAAGGTAGATCAGCGTTGCCTGTCTTGTTTAAATGTAATAACATTAGGTAAGGAGAGTATATAGTAATTTTATAGTTTGATTTGACTTCTGAATCATAAAAAACATAAAAATAGTTGTAGGCACCATAGAGCCACATAAAAATATTTATCTCAATTTGCAGGGGTAGGCAACCTTGGCTCTTTTATGACTCGTGGACTTCAACTCCCAGAATTCCTGAGCCAGCCATGAAGTCCACGAGTCATAAAAGAGCCAAGGTTGCCTACCCCTGCCCTACAGACAAGGAGTTTAGAAACAGACTGTGGTCAGTCTATCCCAATAACAGAAATTTAGAGGTAGAGGAAGCCAATAAACTTACTGGGGACTTGAACTCACTTCTGCTTCTGTTTCATTAATATTAAGCATGTTACTAATTAATATCTCATAATTAATAATGATCAATATTAAATATATTGATCATGGAATAAATTTAGTGACATTGAGTATCTGAGTACAAATGCTTAGAATTCTACAGAGCATATTAATATGTCATAGGTTCAGAGTGAATTCTTGCCTATAAAGACTCATAATAACTGATTAGAGAATCACAATACTTTTATCTGCTTTTGTGTCATTTATGCTGTCTATTATATTGTAAATTATCTAATCACCTACCGTGTATCCTAATGATCCAGGCTCCAGAGCAGATGGTCAGTAAAATATGTATTTTTAAAAGTAGAGAACTGTAGCCTTCTCTTTTTTTTACGGTGTGTTACTCGGGGAGTGTTATGACATTGGCAGCATACAAGAAGCATTCAACCGAAAAGGAAAACATTCTCCAAGTGTTTTCAGTTCATGGCAACAGATAAGCAACACAGTCAGTTAATGTATTAATGTGTTATTTTATTATTTCAACAGCTGTACTAAATATGGATGATTCAGTAGTTGACCTAGAAACATTGGAAGCACTATATGAAAATGTAAGTAATGCTGATAGTTTATTTGAGGGTTGGAAGTAAAATCAGATGAATCTCTCCCTTTGGCACAAAGCTTTGGACCATTATCTTTCACCCAAAAGATTAAGAGCCAATTCAGCTTACAAAACAGCAGCATTATATGAGTGTAATACAAAACACCAAAACTGCCCTCAAAACTGCATTTTGAACCAGCTTCAGCTTCCAAATGTTCTTCTAGGGCAGTCCTATGAGCAGCATGCTACAGTAATCAAAACCACAGCAACAGCCCTTCTCCCCAGCCATAGTTGCTAATTGTCCATCAAGCAGTAAATGTATATCATTTACCGACTCTTAACTGAGGAAGTCCACCCTCTGATGGAAAATCACTGGAGCCAAGCAGTCTTAAAACCCATAGCCGCTCATTTTGCCAGGGTTAAGCTGAAGCCTGTTCAGCCCCAGTCAAGACCTTCACAGCTTCAGGTACTGAAAAAGGTCCTGGCCAGCATCATTTGGTCAACCCAGGATGGCCTTGTTCTATTTGCATTGTGATAGTTGCATGGTACCATGAGAAATGTAGAATAGAAACTGCAAGTGTTCCTTCCTTCCTTCCTTCCTTCCTTCCATCCATCCATCCATCCATCCATCCATCCATCCATCCATCCATCCATTTTATCAATTAGCTGGATATCCTGCCTTTATTTTATACAATTCAAGGCAGCATCCAAAATGCTCTTTCCTTAATATTTTCTCCACAACTCTGTAACGTGTTTTGGGTTGAGAAAAAATGACTGACTCTAAGTCATCTAGATAGTTTCCATGCCTTAAAAATTCCCAGTTGAATTATTACATTGAACCTCAGAATCACATGGTGTTCATAATACAGATTGGGCCCCTTCATGTATTTTGTAATAATTTGTATTAAATTACTTAAAGTATCTTCATCATTTTAGAATATTTTAGAATTAAATATTTGCACTTGGTCACAATATTTTAATAGAGCAACAGATATCAATATGCCTATATGCAATACAGTTTAATAATCCCAATTTCTTAACTGACTGCTGAAGTTGTTACAAAACAATATTTTTTTTAATAATAAAGCATTGGAATTGGATGATTGGATTACAGATATCTCTCATCAGATCTTGAGAAGAATGAAAGAAAAATTAGTTCCTTTTTTATAGGAAGCTTAAGAAATTACGTAAATTATTATTATATAAACCCTATCTTTGTACAGCTATACTCATCAATTTATTGAGATTTCCAAACTAAAGTTTATGTTTCCATATTTATGGCAATGAATTAAAATATATATCGTAGAATAACTTTTTAACTTTTTGTTATTCAGACATCAGTGTATACAAAGTTTATGTATCTTGTCAATGGCGTGTAAAACAGAAGATTTTAAAACAATATAAATGGCTCAATCTAGGAAGAGAAATATGGTCATGGAAGACATTTTTTTCTTGTACTATAGGTCAAAAGTGATATATAAGAATGTGCTGCATGTATTTTCTTTCTTTTTACTTTTAAATAAGTCCAATCTTTGTACCATCCAAATGTAAGATGCTCTCTCTGTTTTGATTGTAACCAACTATACTTGTCGAAGCTAATTCAATCTTTCATACTTCCAAAAATAGAAGTATTCCCAGCTTCCAGATAAGAAAGATAATCTCACAGTTGTTTTTGTCACTGAATCTACAGAGAGCACAGAAGGATGAACTGGAAAAAGTAAAGCAACATTATGACACTTCAACAGAAGAAGAAGTTAAGCTACTGGACAAACCTGAACAGTAAGACCAGATGGGCAAGGTGCCCCATGTATTTCCCAGTCATTCAAAACAGTCTTGAAAAGCAGAATGCTTGGTATAGCATTATGGCTGAACAACATGTCTGAAGGAATTCCCAAATGCCCTATTGTTGTTGTTTTTTTTTTCATTCCCCTTTGGTTAAGTATGATTCTTGGTGACTTCATGAACATGTTCACATAGTTTTCTTGACAATAGTATAGAAGTGGTTTGCCACTGCTGTGCTCTGGAGGCTTTAACTTTAGCTCTTACTGTTAACCCAAGATCAGCTTCAGGCTGCCCCCTGATGTAGATAGCCCAGTCTTAGGAGATGTCTACCTGTGCTTTTGCTAAATATCTGAAAATGCAGAGATTCTGGAGAAGTAGGAAGCTTCTTCCGTTGCTAAATCTGGGCGGAAAATTTCTTAATTAATCAAAATATTTGTTATTGTAATTTCAAACCATTACCTTTTTTTATATCAGGTAGGGTGAATGAGAGCTCAAGTTACCCAGAGTTATTTCTTTAAATATAGATTTAAAAACTAATCCTGTTAGTTAAAATATAGATTTTAGCAATCCTGTTAAAATTAAGTTGGAATCAGGCTATATATTTGATTAAGGACACTCCTAGTTGCTGTCACTTTTTTCCTTAAACAACAACAACAACAAAAGCATTGGAAATTCAACCCAGACTGAAATTCTGTGCTCTTCCTACTTTTCCTACACCTCGGTCACCTTGGTTGTGTAACCTTTTGGAGATGGTAGAAAACACCACAAAAATGTTGTACAGTACTTGCTGCTGCTCCTGTTTACTAAAATAACAGGTTTGAGGCCATCTGGCATCAAGAGAGGAGTTTAAGGCAACTTATCTTTCCCATTTCCCCTGTCTATTGGTGTTCTGTCAAGTGGAAGTATTTCATCCATTTTTTTAAGAGGATGAAATGGGAGAGAACTTTATATTTCCAGTGATGGTGAGAAAAGCAATAAAATGCTATGGTATGATACTACAATAGGGATGTATCCTGGTTCAAAGATTTGTATATCAGTATCAGTACATGTACTACAGCATGAGAGAAAGATTCTTATTGGTGCTAATCAAAGAGAGCCTTCATAGCCACAGAAGGAGCTGATCAAAACCTGCTGCTGTTCAGATGTTTTGAAACTGCAAAATCTGTGTTGGGAAAGAATTCAAGGGTTGGAGTCTTAGTGCATCTGGCGAAGATTGCATTTTCTTTTTCCCAACTGTCAGAAATGTAGTAGATACTGCTGGCTTATATGGCAACCTCCCAAGTTTGCCTTTTATTTGAGAAAATCCACAAATATGTATGTAACATCCAGTTTGGCTTTCTAAACTATTCCTACCGAGTGAGAAGCCTAGCATGGAAATACACTTATATTTTACTAGTTATATTGAATCCACTGAAAGGTAGAACAGACATGAAGACTTCCAGCATATTTAATCCTTATATAGATACAAAGATCAGAACAAAGGAAGACACTTAAACTAAATTAGAGCCAGGATTCTAGTTCAGTTTAATTAATACATAATTGATTAAAACATTGAAATCCATTCTCTCTCTGGAAATCTTCATGATTTATAGAATGAAGGTTGATTATTCTCAAGATAAGAATTGTTCTTGAAAGCAGTAAAATAATCTCAAACAGCAACCAATTCCCAGCAAAAGTAAAATTAGTAAAGTGATATGGTAATAATAATAAAACTAAATTTCAGATAAGCAGCTTTCACAGAGCAATGTGAAAGCCTGGCATACTCAATATATCATCATCATCATCATCATCATCATCGTCATCATCATCATCATCATCATCATCATCATCATTTTAGTCATTGTCTATCCACTAAAGGATGAAGGCCTCTTCTGCATGTTTCCAACCAATACAGTCCTGAGATTTCTTTTGCCAATTGGGCCCACAATACTTACTGATGTCGTCAATCCATCTTGTGTTAGGTCTCTTTCCTGGGCGCTTTTTATTAGATGGGATCCATTCTATGACTGCCTTGGTCCACCTGCCATCGGTTCTTCTTGCTCTGTGACCAGCCCATTTCCATTTCGGTTCTTTTACTCTTTTGATGATATTGTATACTTTTGTTTGTTGTCTAATCCATGTGCGAATCTTTCTATCTTGTCTTGTAATGCCAAGCATATATCTTTCCATGGCTCTTTGCGCAACTCATAGCTTTTGTCTCAATTGTGAGGTTAGTGTCCATGTTTCACCAGCATATATTAGAGCAGGTAGCACACACTGATTGAAAATATTTCTCTTCAGGCATAGGAGGAGGTTGTTCTTAAAAGTTAGTTTTGCTTGCCGAATGCCTGCCAACCACATTTAACAGTTTCCTTTATTGTATTGTCTTCCATTGAGATCTATTGGCCAAGGTATATGTAGTAGTCTAGTATGTCTAGTTCTCCAGATATAACAATTTTTCTTTTTTTGGTGAATTTATTAAACCTGGCTCTTTTTCAGGTTTAATAAATGGTTTAAGGTTTAAGCCAAATGGTTCTCCTACTTTGTGCAGCTCTTGTATGTGTCTTTCTAGCTCTTCTGGGTCTTGTGAGAAGAGAACAATTTCATCTGCAAATCTTAAGTGATTTAAATAAGCACCATGATTTTTATTCCATCTTTTGCTCAGTCTTTTTGCAAAAGTATTCTTTTGCAAAATACTTCTTCAAGGCAGGCTGAAAAAAAGATAGATGATATTGTATTGCCTTGTCATACACCTCATTCTGTGTTGATTTCCACTTTAAGTTCATTAGGGCAAATTGTTGCCATTGTTTTTTCATATATTGATTGTAGTAAGTTTATGTAAGCAGTCTGCACCTTGGTTGAGCAATGTATTAGTTATTGCTTTCTGGAATACTGAATCCAAACCTTTTCATAGTCAATGAAAGCCATGCACAAAGGCATGACTTGCTGAACAACCTGGATGTGTTCCATTGTGCTGTAGCCACTTCTGAACCCTGCCTGCTTCTTTGGCTATGCATCATTTAATGTTCTCAATATTCTTTTTGCTATTATCTTGGTGAAAACCTTGTAGATGATTAAAAGAAGTCTTATTGGGTGATAGTTCTTTAAATCATCTTGGGTCCCTTTCTTGTGTATAAGAATCACTTCAGCATTTTTCCATGCATCAGGTAATTTTTCTTCTCTGAGGCATCTCGAGTATACTTTTGCTAGTATCTTGTGTAAACTGTGTTCACCAGCTTTCAGCATTTCAACCACAACACAGTCATTTCCTGAAGCTTTGCCATTTTTCATTGATTTTATGGCACTTGATACTTCCTCCACTAGGATATCTGGCATTTCCTTTTTTTGTGGGTGTTGTTACTTTTGAGTGATCTTGATCTTTGTATAGCTCTGAATAGAATTTTCCAATTATTTCTTATCATGTTTTGTTCTACACACAGAGCCATCTTCATGCTTTAATGCAAAAGCCTTCTTTCTTTTACTGATAAGTGTGTATTTTGCTCTATTAATCCCTTTGTTTTTTTCAATTGTCTTTTTCACATTAAACTGATAGATTTCTTCTTGGATATGTTTTCTTATGGTCTTGCAAAGTTCAACGTACTCCAGTTTATTAGTGAAACTTCCAGTATTCTTCATTGTCCGTCATTTAATAGTTTTATCAAAGATTTTTGACTGTACCAAGTGTTTTTCCAATGGTGCTATATTCAAGAATGTTTTTAACTATTTGTTTATTTTGGTCCGTAATGTTCATCTCTTCCAAATCGTGCAATAGAACAAAGCAATTTGACAGCTTAATCTTAAAATTGCTGTTCTCCTCTAACAGCTTATCACTCTTTATTTTTGTTTTTTGTGACATCTTTATCATTTTCATAGCATTATCATTTTCATTAGACAGACTATCTTCACTTTAGCTCATACCATTCTATGGTGACTTCCAACATTAAAACAATTGATGACAATACAATTGCAGAATATGATTTTAACACTTGACATGAGGTAGTCAATTTTACTTGTGTACCCAAATGGACTCTTCCATATCCATTTTCTGCTAGATTTTTCTTGTAAAATGAGTTCATAATGTAAAGTTCCTTTCCTTCAGCAAAATCTACTAGTCTGTCACCTCTATTATCTCATTCACCACTTCCATATGGGCCACTTGCTTTTTCTCCAGGTATTGTTCTTCCTATTCTTGCATTAAAATCACCCATTAGTATTTTGTATCAGCATTTTTCTTTGTCTTGAAGGCAAGCCACATCGTCATAAAACTCTTCGACCTCATTATCTAGCTAGCTCATTGTTGGTGCATAAACTCGGATGATTTGAAGCTTATATTGTCTGTTCAATTGAATGATGCATTGGACTACTCTGTCTGATATACCTTCAAATTTTAATACAGAGTCTTTCAGTTTTTGGTTAATTAGAAAATCAATTCCGCCTCATAAGCCATCTTTGGTTCCTCTAGCGTAGAGTAAATGCCCAGTCCTATCAAGTTCAACTAAATGTTCATCTTTTCGATGAACATTTAGTCCTATCAAGTTCAACTAAATGTTCATCTTTTCGAACTCCCAATGCATATTGTTGAGTTCGCAGTTCTTTTAGCTGAGTGTCCATTTTCATTGTTTGAATGTTGACTATTCCTATGCCGAAAGTCCAAAGGCAGCCTGATTTAACCCAGTGATTCTTAGCACCCTTTGCCTTTGGTCTTCCTACTGCCGTGGGTAGTTGCCCTAGGGCCTCCAGAGAATGAGGACCATTTTTGAGGTTGCATTGGAATAGAGTAGACCATACATAATCTGTCACGCTGGTCCAATGTGGGTTGCCAGATGTGATCGATGTTATTCTGGGGTATCCATAATGGCCTATTTGCCTTGGGAGACCCTTCTTGACATATAGATGTCCGATGACAGCCCATGATTTCATTTACCCACACAAGCCCCTTCACCTCGTCAAGGTCCCGATCATAGAAGAAAACTCATTATATGCTGGACTATAATTCCAGTTATCCCCAAACAATGCAATTGATTTTGATAGCTATAGCTGATTAATGTTATGATCATCATACTTAAAGGGTGCTGTATTGGGTTATCCTCAAGACTCTAAACATCAATTTTTGATAGGAGATTAAGATACAATCCTGTATCCTCTTTGCTACCCTATGGAAGGAAGTAGGATTTACTTTTGAGCAGATCTGTATTATTGAAAGTAGAATGCTTATATTACATTAAATAAAATAGAATTAAAGTTTCTATTTTGAAGATTAATTTAGGAATAAGCCTGAGAATAATAAAATTGTCATAGGATACTGACTCATTGGACCCTAATCAATTGTCACATAACCATAGAGGGACTAGAACTTTTGTTTTTAGTTTTGTTTCTCTCCAGCAGAGGGCGGTATCTCTACCTTTCTATTTCTTTCAGACTGTATTTGTGATACAGTGTGCTGGAATATTGAATTTATCTTTTCCAATAAAGATAAGAAGATTATTTTTATTTTATTCACAATTTAAAACATATCAAGAACTCATGTATTGTCAGTATTTCTCTGATATATTGGATTATATAATGTAAAATGCAATCACTTGATCGAAATATACGTTTGCTCCTATTTTCACAGATTTTTATATGAGTTATCCCAGATCTCCAACTTTGCTGAACGTGCCCAATGTATAATCTTTCAATCTGTCTTCAATGAAGGGATAATTGCAGTTCATCATAAAGCTGACATTATTCATCATGTTTGTAAGGTACTTGGGTCAAAATTTGTGGCATTCTAAGGTTTATTTTTCTTCATTGAATACAACTATTTCTGAGTAAAAATGATAGAAAATTGATTCAAGTCTAGTTAAAGTAGTATGTAATGTTGTGCTGCCTAACAGATGTCGTTTTCAGGTTTTAAGATCTTTATGAACACCAAGTATTTTAAGTCAAAATGATCTATTAAAAATTAAATAGTTTCAATATTCTATATTTAAATTAAATCAATATCTTATTTATATAAAATATAATAGCACAAGTAATTTATGTAAAATCATAAATTTATTTATTTTTATTTTATTTATTTAATTACATTTGTATCCCGCCCTTCTCCTTGCGGACTCAGGGCGGCTGACAATGATTAAAATACTAACATATACATCTAATTAAAAATTGATTAAAAAGAAATATTTAGATACGTCAAATTTAAAAGTAATTAAAACCCCTTTAAAATCCCTTAGGCCAGTCCCGCGAGCTGGAACAACCACGTNGAAGCGCACCCGGAAGGCTACCGGCAGCCAATGCAGCTCGCGCAGAAGCGGCGTAACGTGGGAGCGACGAGTCCCTCCCAACACCGCCCGCGCGGCTGCATTTTGAACTAGCTGGAGCCTCCGGGTGCTCCTCAAGGGGAGCCCCATGTAGAGAGCATTACAGTAGTCCAGGCGGGAAGTGACAAGGGCATGGGTGACCATGCGTAAGGCGTCCCGGTCCAGAAACGGCCGCAACTGGTGAATCAGGCGAACCTGATAAAACGCTCCCCTGGTCACGGCCGACAACTGGTCATCCAGTGTCAGCCGCAAATCCAGGAGAACACCCAAATATGTTCCAAATTTTTACAATTACAATAGGCATAATCCAGCTTATTTATCCTGGGCATATTGTAAGCTTTCACTAACGTCTATAAATGGTTAGGGCATAATAAATTGGCTAATCTTTAAAATGCCAATGGATCTTGCAAATGTTTATTTTCAAATGCAACAAAGCAAAGTACTGTATCAGTTTCAACACTGACAGGATCCAAAGAGATGCCAGGTCAGAACAGCTTTCATGAATCTGCAATAGGCATTTGATTCTCAGATAAAGTTTTGAAATAAAAACAACTTTTTTTTATTTTTCTCATTTTTCTGAGTTTGAATGTTGTTTTTGCAGATTTATTTTAAATCTGGTAATGTAGGGATACAATATTTATGTGTTTATATTTGGTTGGATCAGTGACAGATTATTATGTTGCTTCAGAGTTGCAGTTTGAACTTCATTTACTTTTCTACTATATAACTTCTGGGAAGAAATTGAGGCATAAGTCACTACCTAATGATCTCAAAGTAAATTTATTTGTCTAATTTAACCTATATTTCTTCTGTGCTTTGTTCACTTTTTGTTGACGTCTGGGATTACTATATTCATTTATTATGCAAAATATTTATCTGGTGTTTCCTTTAGCAGCTAATAATATTAAAACAACAAAAATACCAACATGACAAATTATTTATTTTACCAACCTGGGAAGGATGGAAGGCTGAGTCAACCTTGAGTCAGGCTTGAACTCCTGGCAGACAGCAGAGTTAGCCTGCAATACTACATTCTAACCGTTGCGCCACCATGGAATAATCATAATCATAATCATCCCAAAATCATCCAATTAACTTTCTAGCTGAAAATTGTTGAATTCCTAATTCAATATGCTACTAACTTGAGCAATGTGGGCTCTCAAAATAATGCCATGGCCCAGAGTTGATTTTAAAACCTTCAGAATTATAGCATTTCTCTGTTAGCATATTTCACTGTGTATGTTTATAAAGAAAAGAAAATATTTCTTCACGTAATATTTTTCTGATATTATAAATTACTGCCACATTTTTCAGGAGTTGATCACAAAGAAAAGTGTGAAAAATATTCTAGCTTTGATTCTGGCTTTTGGAAATTATATGAACGGAGGAAATCGAACACGTGGTCAGGCAGATGGATTTGGCTTGGAAATACTTCCCAAACTAAAAGATGTTAAGAGCAAAGTAAGTACTGTATGCATTTAATTCATGATTTTTAATTTTAATTGAATTCAATCTTTCAATTAGCGGGCACTGCTTTGTGGGTAGACATCTGCTCATAACCAAAATGACAAAATATGTGTTATGACATCATAATGCACTCTCAACTCTTTTGTATTTGAGTGATAATATCACATGTATGTAAGGGGTGGAGTTTGTGGTACAACATTGTGCTATGTGTTTATCATTAGTCTCCTTCCCCTTGCTTCCACTGCAAATGCCTCTAGCTCTGTGAAAAAAAATGTGGTTTTTTTTTCTTCTCTTTGCTGTTGTTTTTGTTTACACATAAGACATACACTTCTCCTATCAGGTAGACTGAAAATCAATTCTGGATGAAGGATAAAACTACTTTTATTGGAATTGGCTATAATAACATGCTCTTCCATGTCTGATTGTACTAACCCCTCCCCTCCTTCTTATGTCCCAGTGAATTAGGGAGGTTTATGCTCCATCACTTCTGAATATTATCTTGTTGTACTGGACTAAAAAGTGTTTCATCCCTTTTTTTTCTAAGTAATGGTTGCTGTATATTTTCATCAAGGTAATCATCCTTAGTCTATACACATGGTAATTGAGGTACATCTTTCATTACTCTATTTCACCATTAAAAACCACTTCTATAACTAAAGTCAAATGACTAATCTTAGTCTAAATTTTTTTTAAAACAAACAATGGAAAAATGGTACGTATTTTTTTTTCTGAAACCCAATCCTTATCATGTGTGTTGGAATTGCACCTTCCAAAATTCTGGGGAAAAAAAGTGCTACAAGAGAGATTCATAAACAGAACTAATTTGCCTTTTATGAATGGGTAATGTGACAGTCAGATTATTTGAACAGAATCAAGAATCCACTAGGCTGTATTCAACAGTTGTCTTATGTCTGTGGGAATTGACTTAAACTCTAAGTCAGTTCACTTGCATATGCTTGATTTTTCTACTCACTTCCTTAAGCCTTAGCTATGAATAGGTGGAAACATTTTTATGTAGCTTAAGTAGCATCTAAGTGACCCAGTACAGATGCGAATACTAAGAACAAGAACTGAAGAAGTGTCAGATTTTCTTTGTCTCTAAATTATATTCCATCCAAATGCAGTGATTGTTGGTATGATAAACAGAAAATTACTTATTAATTATTATAATCATATAAATCCATACTCAAGGGCCTGTATGGGGAAAGGAAGCAAGTGCCATCACATTCAGTGTGATGTCAACCATGTAATCCAATGCATCACATCAGTGTTTTTCAACAAAGCTTGCTGGGGAATTCTGGGAGTCAAAGTCCACCCATCTTAAAGCCACCAAGGTTGAGAAACACTGCCTTATATACTGGATTGCACTTGAATCGTGATGCATCTAATCTGCATTACATCATTTGCATTGATTGTTTGATGACATGGTAATCTGTGTGATGGCATCAATACTTCTACTGGATACCTGTGAGTCTACCAATATATATGACTGAACTTAATGTAAAAAGGAAGGTCTAAATAATAAACTGAAACAGTGATATCTTACCATGCCTAATGAAACTATGTGCAATTTATTTCAGTGGATTAACATTTTAGTCTATGAAACTGTTTACCTTTATACATCTGGTATATTTGGTACATTTCTTATAACTGATTAGTAGCCAGTTAGTTATAGGAAATGTAAGGACCTGATTAATACTGAGTCACCCACAAGTTCATTTGTTGCAGTATTGTTTATTTTGACTGGCAGCAATTCCCCAAAGAACCAGCACATGCTAAGGGGTCAGTAATAGGATCCCTAGCTGCTAATAAAACAGTGTAACCTCCTTTTATATTCACTACATATGAGGGAAAGTATTACCTATACACTGGAGATGTACTATGATAATATACTGAAATGGATATATGGATTTGGACTCCTTTTGAATTCACTGCATATCTAAATCCTGCTGACTGTTAGATTTGAATAGTCTGTTCAAAAACACGTACTTATAATCATTCTAGACATATTTAGATATATTTAGTTTTATGTTACTTAATACTAATGCAGATAGACACCTAGTACATACCAAACAAGTTGTACAGTATTAAAGGTAGTCCTCAACTTATGACCACAATTGAGCCCTGAATTTATGTTGTTAAGTGAGACATTTGTTAGTGAATTTTGCCTCATTTTATGACCTTTCCTGTTACAGTTTCAAGTGAATCACTGCAGCTGATAAGTTAGTAACACAATTGTTAAGTGAATCTGGCTTCCCCATTGATTTTACTTGTCAAAAGGTCACAAAAGGGGATCACATGACCCCATGACACTGCAACCGTCATAAATATGAGTCAGTTGCCAAGTGGCTGAATTTTAATCATGGGTATGCTGCAAAGGTTGTAAGTGCGAAAAACGGTCATAAGTCACTTCAGTACTGTTGTAACTTTGAACAGTCACTAAACAAACTGTCATAAGTTGAGGACTCCTGTACAAAACTGTCATTAATCCAAAATGCTTGCTTTTGGGGGGAGTGATGATGTGGAGTGGGATTTCTATGTTAAATTAAACAATGGTTGAAAAGCATAGTGCCTGCCCCTGCCCCTACATCACTGTGAATGTCCTAAAAAGTTTGATATAGTTTGCTTACATCAGAGGTGTCAAACTGCTGGCCCGCGGCCGGTTTCATCATACCGAAGCTGTGCCCACCCTTTTTCGGCAATGCAAAAAGAATCGCGATACGACATGACACGTCATGTGACATGGCGAGTTTGACACCCGTGGCTTACATATTATATAGAAAGACACATCAGATAGTGATTTGAAGCAAGGGGCCATGGGCAAGGGTTTAATAAACAAGAAACCATTCAGAGTGAGGTCAGAAAGTAAGGCTGCTGAAGGACATATCCTTCAGAACCCTGGACAGGTCCCAGGGAAGACTATTACTAATGAGGGCTAGTTGTGACTGAATGCTGAGGAGCAGAAATGAAGAATCCATAGATACCCCTCACTCTGGCCCCAGCCTTTCTCTAGGCTCCACCCTGTATGATAATTAGGTCGTTAAAAGCTGCCAACAGTCCATAGGAGACTTTATAGACCAGTGGTGGCAAACCTATGGCACGCGGGCCAGAGGTGGCACTCAGAGCCCTCTCTGTGGGTACGCGTACCACGCCCCAGAGATGGTGAGGAGCTGGCCTCTGCCACCCTGGCCCCACCCATCCAGTTTGCCATGACCACCGCGGCCATGCCCACCTGGCACCCGGTAATAAATAAGTGGGTTTTGGATTGCAGTTTGGGCACTGGGTCTCTAAATGTTTCGCCATCACTTTTATAGACAATTCATTGCTCATAAGGTGACCTTTAGATTTTTTTTAATCCCACCTTTATTAATGTTATAAATAACTCAAGGCAGAGAACATAATTAATATTCTTTCCTCCTCCTGTTTTCCCCACAACAAAACAACAACCCCATGAGGTGAGTTGGGCTGAGAGGGACAGGCCCAAAGTCACTCAGCCAGGTTTTATGCCTAAAGTGGGACTAGAACTCAGTCTCCTGATTTCTAGCCTGGTGCTTTAAACCACTAGACCAAACTGGCTCTCTGGCCTTGATGGTGCAGTACAGTTGGGAGAAGAAATGTCTATAATTTTTTGAAAATGACTTGTCCTTCGTGAACGTTGTATTACAACAGAATCATAAAATCACGTAGTGTAAACTTTGGAGATCATCTAATCCATTCCTCTGCCATGGCCATCCAGATTCTATTGCAGGATCCACCTGCATTGTCAAAAAGCTTCTACTGTTACAATTTTTTTCTCTATGCCCAACTGAAATCTGCATCCAAATAGTTTAACCCCATTGTTTCCTGACCTATTTTCTGGAACAGCTTTGAACACATCTGCCTCACCTTTTACATATTAATTTTTCAGATATTCAAAGAGAGCTAACATGTCTCTTTGCAGATTCCTCTTCTCTAGGCCAAACATGCCCTGTGGTCCCCACTTAGCTGATTTTTCTTTCTTTTCTCTGGTAACTTCCCCCCCTCCCCAAGCCTAATGTGCCTGGGAGGGATCTGAGAAGAATTAAAATCTCCATCATGTATTCTGGGATCTCCACCATGTTTTAAATTCAATTGGAAAAATATTTTCTGTTGATACTTACATAATATTCTTGCCAAGCCCAATTACTCAGTGTGTGTCCATAGAGAACAGGCAGGGAGAGGTGAGCCTGAGAATCCCAGTTTTTGGCTTCTGACAAATTTTAGAATGGAGATCAGGTGCTTTTGTGGTGATGCTACAGACTCAGATGGCCTCATTTCAACTAAGTCCATGTCCAAGTCATTACTGATCATGACAAGCAACACCTTTATATGACAGAACAAGCCACAATATGGCAAAAACTTTATAAAGTTATTTGATTCTGTATTATCCCCATTAAGAGATAAAATTTTCTTGGATGAGTTTAAGTCTCCTTAAGTTGCTATAAAGAGAGTGCCTGAAAATAGAACAGTAATAGAAAACAATAGCAATTTATTATTAATTATTTATACTATTTGCTATTATAAATTAGTTTTCACAGAGTTTGTGGTCACTTCTCCTTTATTAAGAGCTTAGGAAGTATAAATTACAGTAAAATATCCTTTTCAATGTGTATTTTTTTAATGTTCATGTTCCACATTTTCTGATATTTGAAATCTTATTTTTCAATTATCCCTCTTTTAGGATACAGGAATCAGCCTTGCAGATTATGTTGTAATTTATTACCTACGCCATTGTGATAAGGTAAGTTTTTATCAATTACTGCACTGTGTATATTATTTAAGAAGGTTCTGTAAAGTTACGCTCATCCCATTCCTACATGAGAAAAGAAACAGGAACGATAAGGATAGCAAGCTAGCACCCAATTGAGAAAAATTAAACCTGTTGTCTATTACTTTGACTTTTTTGTGTGCATATCTTCAGTTAAAGTTGAAACATAAGCTACATGAATGGCTTTACTTCTCTTCCTACATCTCCTAATCCCAACAAAAAGACATTATGGGTATGGGATCCTCTTTGGAAAGAATAATAAATGAAAATTGTTAAAAATAGCAGAGCCACCTCATTAGTTTGTTTATTTATTTATTTACTTGTAATTAAATTTATATGCCACCCTGGATGACTCTGGGCAACTTACAAACAGTAAAAAGAGAAATATAAAAACAATTAAAATTACATTTACAATTATAACTATATTGCCCTTCTCCTGAGGTCCCCAGGCCTGCTGGCATAATCTGGACTTGAGGGACCTCAAGTTCAACAGGAACAAGGCCAATCTCACCTCAGGAGGGAGAAGATTTCACAGCACTGGTGCCCCCACAGAAAAAAGCTAGTCACTTAGGGCCCGCCAAAGATAACTTTCTAGGTGATGGAACCCATAACATTTCTGCTCTGTTTGATCTGGTAGGAGAGGCAGATGAAATTGGGGAGAGGCTGTCCTTCAAAGTGGGGCAGAATATTAGCCAGGTTCCTAATTAATCGGCTAAATGTAGTTATTTCAACTTTAAAAATGTCATGCTAAACATACAGCAAATGAGTATATTTGAATATATATTCAGAACATTTAGATTAATAATACACAGTAGTGTGAATAAATGGCTAATAAATTTATATATTTTAAATGCTACTGGTTTACAAAGAAGATTATTGTTATCCTTAACAATGTATTAATAGCAATTCATTTATTTATAATAAATGGATCAAATAATACATATTAAAATGTATGAGATCTGATAAAATTAAAATATTTTCAAAATTCTACGTTTGCCAGGAAGCTTAATTTAACCACACATGCAATCTTTCATAATTTCAATACTATCTATATTTTAAAGGGAGCAATTTGTAGATCTAGTCACATAACTTTTTGCATTTCTTAGATTCAAGAAACATTTAAAGCCTTTATTTGAATACTTCACTAGATATACAAAGATCAGATTTAATAGTTATCAATAGGATATTAATTTATATAAACTACAGAGACTTATATTTTAACTTTCCATTCCCAAGATATTGGAACTTTGAACTTCTACAGACCCAAAGTTTTATGATTGAGTGAAGATTTCCATAAGTAGAAAATAAAAGTTGGGGATTTAATTCATCCTGGAGCACTCTTCAAATCCTCTTCAAAGAGTTGTGATAGCATGAGTAATAGCACATAAAAATAAAGGAGAAAAGGGAGTATTTCTAAATTACTCCTTTTATTTATTCTTGCGTAATCCTTCTCTGGATTAAAGAACTTCCTATAAATGGCAAAACACAGTTACAAGCCATTAAACTAGAACTAAAAATTAGGATTTGCTTATGCAAAGATAACTTTGTATCTTTGTTTTCGTTGCATGCTAGGCAATGGTTTTCAATGAGGTGCCAAGGCTAAGATGAATGGATAAACAGAGAAAACACTTCCGTGCTTACTGGAAAAGTTGCTATTCATTAACCAGACACTTCTGACATTTTCCTCATTTAGGGAACTGTGGAAATAAATAACATTGCCAGGCATAAATTTGGGTGTCGCCAGCCACCTGTGACATCACAAAAGCTGAATGTTTCTATGAGACTTATTCTCTCTGAACAAATGTGGTGTCTTATTTATCAATTTATTCATTGGATTTATATTCTGCATTTCTAACTATGATAGCTTGCAACGTCACAGTACAAATCAAATAATTAAGAGTCATTAAAGCATGGTCAAATAAATTTTATCTCAGGAGCCACAGTGTTTGTCCATCAGATACCTGCCAGTAAAAAGATAACCAAAAAGGAATTTAGAATTTTTGGCAAGAAATTCCACAGCTTAGAAGCCAAGCCCAAGGCAAAGGAGATAAAAGAGGGTAAAAGCTGTGCAATCATAAAGGAATACAATACAATAAATACAATACAATAAAGTTGTATTAACATGATGAGCTGTCTTTAACTTAGATGATGCTAAAATATTACAATTATTATGTACTACAAACGTAATTTGGGTTCCTTTGGAGATCACAAGCATTTCATTGGGGAGATTTTAATGTGTCTTCAGGGGAAAGGGGTACTTTTTTAACTTTTTTAACTTGCATCATTTATTTATATATATAATTCATGAAACATATCTGTTTCAGTAGGATGTATAGCATTGTTACAGTTATTGGTTTTAACTTTCTTGTTTAGGATGCAGGAACAGAAAATAGTGTTTTTCCATTGCCAGAGCCCCAGGATTTCTTCCAGGCATCACAAGTAAAATTTGAAGATCTGATAAAAGATTTAAGAAAACTAAAGAGAGATCTAGAAGGTAAATAAAATCTAGTTTCCTTTTGAAAATATGCTGAGCAATCCAGCTTTCCAAAATATTTTTGGCAAATTTTCCCAAGTAAATAGGCTTTGGATTGCAGCTTTGGGTAGATTACTGCTGTTTGAGCTGTACTGTAGCAAATCCATGTTATTAATTTACCACAGTTAAAAACAAAGTCAACAATAAATATTTTTGATGATATTAACTTTAGTTCTTGCATTGCATTTAAGAACTTTAAAGAACATTTGCTTGAAGAATATGAGTTTTAAGCAAACGTCTTCTAAATTTTCTACTGGATTACTGTAAATTTAACCTTGTAGGTAGAATCCAGTATGTACTGTAACTGACTCTAATTTTATAGTAATATTCAGTAACTTTTGATGGACAATGAATACTAATGGAAAAGTTGAATAAAATAAGCAATTTGGGATAGAGTTGACATAATTTACATATCAGTAAAGGCTGTGCTTGCAACTCAAAGCAAAAATTCCATTTGAAAATGATTAAGTTCTTTTTAAACAGAATAGTCTCTTGGCTGCAGTGGGTAGAACTGCTGTCAAGATACATTCTCAAAAGAAGCTTCTACTATTTATGCGTTCTCATTGCTTATAGATCAAACACATTGTATCAGGCCATTTTCCAACAAGGGAAACAAGAATTTCAAATTTAGGCCTTCTGCTGTTGACTTAAAAGAGATTAATAAAAGTTGTTTGCATTTTTTTTAAAGGAGATTGGCAAAAATAAATTGGGAGCCGTCATAAATTATATTTATGGATACAAAGCATCTTAATGTATATAAGTTATTGGTCATTTCTGTTCTCTCTAAACAGAAATGTTCTTGAAATATTCAAGGATTCTATCCACAGTTGTCAATAAAATTTTTCATTAAACAATTTATTCTTCTAGCTAGCTAGCTCTGAATAAGCTCATATTTGTTCTAAAGAAAATTTCAAAGGTCATAAGGAAATATCAGCTGTTGTTTATTTAACCTTGCTGTCCATGAATGCTCTATCTCCTCCCATCTCTTGGTTCTGTTAAGCCCTCTTGGTCTCCACTCCCCTATCTTTTTCATGCTGAAATGTGATCTGCGTTTGATCTACCATTTTCCAAAAGTATCATTCTCATGCTATACATCTGACATGCACAAGCAGTGATTGTTGTAACAGGAAGTCAATAAAATGCTGGGTTGTTGTTTTTTTTTTAACATTGCATATTCCTTTAAATAAGTAGAGGAATATTTCAGCCTTTCTTTTCTATCTCACCTGTTTATTTCACAGTCTACTGAAAATAAACTTTATTCTCCTTTAGAATACAAGTCATTTGTTTTTCCATGTGTCTTTATATATAGTTTTATAGTTCAGCCTTACTTGCTTACAGTACCTTACAGGTAATCCTCAACTTACAACAGTTCATTTAATGACTGTTCAAAGTTACAACGGCACTGAAAAAGTGACTTATGACCATTTTATGACCAGTTACGATCCCCATGATCATGTGAGCAAAATTCAGATGCTTGGCAAGTGGATCATACTTATGACCATTGCTGTGTCCCAGGGTCCTGTGATCCCCTTTTACAACCTTCTGATGAGCAAAGTCAGTGGGGAAGCCAGACTCATTTAAAAACCATGTCACTAACTTATCAAATGCAGTGATTCACTTAACAACAGTTACAAGAAAAATGGAGCGAAATTCACTTAATAAATGTCTCATTTAACAGCAGAAATTTTGGACACAGTTGTGGTTGTAAGCAGAGAACTACCTATATTTATCTTGCAGTAAGGTTGAACTTTATAGTTGAATCTTACTGTAGTAATTTTAAACAATTGATACAAATTTATCTTATCCAAGAAATGCAACCTGGCAAAAAGAGGTAGAATTTTGTCAGATGGGAGCAAATTTGGAAATTTTGCTAAAAGTGGGTTTGTGGCAGATTCGTGATGAAACAAATATTGCAGAGAATTAATTTTGTCTAGGTTCATCCTACAACTTAAATTAAAAAAAAATCTCTCCTGGAGATGAAGTTAATGTCTGAAGATCAGTTTAATTTGATCAGAATTATCTGGTAGAATATGGAAGAAGAAAGTGGAAGAAGAGCTTTCAGTTTGTTATTTCAAATAACTGGACAAATGCTAATTAAAAATGGGAGCTGAACAATAGAATATATTAAAACTCTTTCTGCAGAAATGACACAGAATGTTCCACAAGAAAATGAAGTACGTTCTGCTATTATCTCTGCTAGAATCTAGCACAGAATAATGTTAGCATTTTTATTTTCCCAATTCTTATTCTATCTTTAACCTATTTAAAGACATTATAAGGCAGAGAGTTTTCATGAACTTAGTGTTGATCATTTTGAAGGGAAGGAATTCTTCCATTGGCAAGGAAACAGCAAAAGATTAGAGAACTTCCTATCTCAAAGAGCAGAAACAGTTTTGCCAGGTGTTTCTTAGGAAGTGAGATATAATTCCATATATACACTTCTACTCCACTCAATACTGTACAAAATTCCATTTTTAATAGCGTATTTTATTTACAATTTTCCCTGATTGTGATGTCACTTTTATTGTTTTTAGAAAGTTTTACTGTATATGTTATGATTTTATAGCTTCTTGTAAGCTGCCCAGAGTCGCCCTGAGGCAAGATGGACAGCAAATAAATAATAAAACAAAATAAACAATAAAATAATAAAATAAAATAAAATATTATCTTGTTTTACAGCTCAGTCAGAGTTGTACCGCGGTTGTACGCAAGATACATCAGGTAGCATTTAAAAAGGTGTAGAGCTGGGAATAATATTAAAATAATATCTGGTTTACAAAATGAATTACTATACCAAAATTAAGTGTGCCTAAGTCCAATTATAAGTTCTACATAGGATAATAAAGAGTACATGCAAGAATACAGACTTCAGAATCACTCCTACGGTGATGGTTATATGCATGAATTGCTAAAAAGAAGATACTTATTTTACTCCAAATTTGAATTCTTGAATTTATCATGTCACAATTTGAACTGATCTAGTGATACATTTAGCACCAATTCTCCTTAGTCCTACATAGGCCAAAGGGGCATAATGTATCTCCTCTCCATGAACTCAAAATTCAACCTTATTTGCCACCAAAAGTAACAAGAGCATGGTGGTAAAAACTGAGTTTTGGTTAAGAGGCCAAGAAAAAGCATTTTTTCTTCAAACAACTATTTTTGTACCTTGTCAGACACAATACCATGTGAAATGTTTTAATTGAAAAGGATATTGTTTTTGCATGTGCACAAAATATCTGGTGAATCTATGTAGTCTCTGGCAACCATTAAAAAGCTGTGGCTTTTGGCAAAATACTAGTAAAAACCTAAAACTGAAACAGATGTCATTTGCAAAAACTGTCTTCAGAGAAGGCTACATCCAGTTATCCAGACAAGCGCAAAATTTCCTATATACAATATTAGACGAACAATATTAAGTTTGACTGTTTATATTACAGATGTTACCCATGCTGGAACTATCAGTTTGGTCAACCATATATTTAAATTACTTTTGCTAATATTTAAGAGATTTACCATCACATTAATTTACAGCTTCAAAATTTTAGATATTCTGAAATAGTGGAAACTTGGAAACTATTCTTAGTTGTAGTTGGAAATATTCAAATACATTTTAATGTATTGATCTACTAATACAAAGATAGTTTCCCTCATCAGAAAAAAACAAATAAAAACTTTAAAAGATGTGATTTTTTTTATTTCAATAGAAACAGTTACTTTACCTAATGTGTTTTTCCCATGGATATGCACACACAGGATCTATGACAGCCCTTTGTTGAAATCAAGTTTCAGTTGTATTCAAAATGTTAACAGTGTACATTTTAAGGAAACTAGAATTAAGTAAAGTAAAAGCTAAAATTCAAATGAACTCCTCCCACCAATTTCTAGATACCATAGAATCACAAATTCAAACAGAAATGGGACTACCAACAATTTCATGCCTTTGAAGAGATATAGCAAAGCTTTTTTTAAAAGGATAATACTTCCGTTAAAATTTTTTAAATATTCAATCTGAGTTTGTGTCAATGCAACCATATATATTTCACTTACTGGAATGTAGGCAACACTCTGCTTTATAAATTAGTCTATAGGTTGTTTCCCCAAAAGTGGATTTTGGTTGTTCTTGTCACACATTGACCCAAAGTGTGCCAAAACTGACTGGTACTGTCCTTATCATTACCACTAGCCTAGCAATATCCTTTCCCTATCTTACAAAAGAAAATTATGCGGAAGTCATCAATTGACTAAAGTCAGGATAGGTGTTGGGAGTTCATTAACTGTGGTCCTATCTGATGACTTGAAATTGAAGAGAAGAAAATGGTAAGGAAGCATGAATTAACAAATTAAATGAAAGAACAATAGGTAATTTAAAGGTCTGTGAATCCAGAAAAGAAAAGATATAATAAAGATGGTCTGATCCTAAGGAATTGAAGATTACATTCAGGGAAGTGAAGATGTAGATTTCATTCTAGCACTTACAATTAGACTTATATACCACTTCATAGTGCTTTACAGCCTTCTCTAAGTGGCTTACAGAATCAGCATATTGCCCCCAATAATCTGGGTTCTCATTTTACTGAACTTGGAAGGATGGAAGGCTGAGTTAACCTTGAGCCGGTCAGGGTTGAACTCCTGGCAATGCACAGAGTTAGCCTGTACTACTACATTCTAACCACTGCACCACCAGGGCTCTCTGACTGCAGAAGGGCTAGAAGTTATATTAGGAAGTGTGAATTGATTTCATCTAGGTTGTGGATGTGTATGAAAATAAAAATCCATAAATTTGTGATAATTTTACATTATATTCCACTGAATCAGGTCTAAGTCTGAAATGTTCCAAATACATGAGATACATAGGAAAGAATTTCAGTCATGTGACATGAGTAAGTGTGAAAGAGATGAAGAGAGCAGAAAATTTGTTTTTGGATCATGATCCAAGGATGAATGCAGAAGTATCTTTT